TGTTTCTAAATTTAACCTGCCATTATTACTCATTGTTAGTTATTCTTGTCGTTTACCAATCTCTCCCCATCCTTCATGAACACCATTTCTTCCTCCAGGACTCAGTATCCATATTCCCAAAGGATTATTCCTTTTCTAACCCTTTCAGTGAGAGCCTTGAATAATATGCCCACTCAGCTTTTGTATTAAAAACAATCGTTTTTCCTCATTGAGGATCCATTTGTGATCATTGTTCTAGCATTTTGATGACATGAGTTCATATTTTCCTGGACTTTAATATGCTGAGGAGAAAGCTACAGTTCGTCTACTTGTTATTTCCTGATAGATGGATGATGTATCTTTTTCCACGTGGCTGTTTTTGTAGGATTTGTTCTGTGTCTGTCATGGGCAGTCGCCTCCCTGTGGCGTTTTTCCCATTTGGGACTCAGGGTGTCACCTCGACCGCAGAGCTCGTGTGTTTCTCCAGGGCCACAAAGTGGTTGCCCCACGTCTCCTTGTATTGTGCCTCTTTCCTGGTCTTTCTGCTCTATTTGATCTCAAACTTTCATGACGAGTACGTTGAATCTTTTTATTATGTCTTCCGTGCCTCGGCGTCTCTCTCACACTTTTCATCTCCATCTTTCTATGCTACCGTTCGGGTGATTTCCTCAGAGCCATCTTAACGCTCTTCAGCATAACGACCGAGTTTTTCATTTCGGTAGCTACACTTTCATCGCGAGAGAGTCTGTGTGGCTCCTTTGTAAAGTACGCCTGAACTGGTATTTTTCTCTTAACTGCTCATTCATTATGGACTCAAATCCATCTTTTGTTATTTTCATCTTATTTTATAGGCTATTTAAGATTGATATAATATCTGCAAATCTTGTGCTACTCGTTATGTCTGTTGATTCTTCCTTGGAAGGTCTGTTGTCTCAGTTCAGAATTTTTTTTCTATTGTGAGGTCATGTTGGGTGGGGACTGCCCCCAGCCCAGCTGAGACATGACGTCAAGTATCATTTATAAGTGGTGATGCTCTTGCTTCTGCCAGAACCCTAAGGACTTTGTTCTGATTAATAACCCCTCGACTTGGGGGTTCCATTATCAAGCAGATCCTATCATTTCAAACCCAACACCCATATGTGGACTTGGGCTTTGTTGTTGGAAATTTATTTGTACATCCCTGAGCTAGTGCGTGGAGTTCTTCTAGACGAACTTCTTCGCATGCAGGGAGCAGCCTTCTGAGGCTTCTGCCTTTAGTCAGGGTCTCGGACCCGGAGGCCCACCTCTCGCAGGCCCAAGGCAGCATCGTCTTCCCTGTGGGCATTGAAAGCCCACCCCCAGGTGTCGCAGCCTGTGTCCAGTCCCAGGATGCTCCTGGGCCAACCGCCCAGCCTCAGCCCCTCTACTCTGAGCCCCTCTTTGCTCCTGGCCTTGGGAATTTCTCTTTGCGTTCACTGTTAGGATAGTGAATGTCCTGAGTGGGCATCTATTGAGTTTCTACTGTTTACCAAACACTGTGCTGCCCCTGGGAACGCAAAGGCCTCTGTGATGGGGCCACTGCCCTCGGCTGTCTCTCCGTGTGGCCGGAGACAAGCGTTTCCGCAATGACACTGTGATGTGGACAGGCTGTAAGTGCCACCGTGGACAAATAACTGAGGAATGTGGCCCACCCAGGACATACAAAAGAAACGGGTTTATTTTGTAATATATGATTGATTGAAATAAAGAAGTAATTCTGTAGGAAACTCAAACTCAAATACGATGAATTAATCAAAGCACACGTGACAGCCTCTGTGACATTAAAGGTTACGAGTAATTATCGCCACCATACAAAGACAGTCTTTGGCCAATTAAAATGCCAAAGTAGGTGTCCTTTTAGCCAAATACACAAAAATGAATGTTTACGCGATCAACTTAAACATGTTTCAGGCAAGATTTTAAGATGGGTTTGTTTTTCATAATAATAAACGTTTGTTACTTAGCCACTGTGACAAAAGTTATAAAACTCTTCTGAATGTTTTTCATTTTGTTAAAACTTCACATAATCTACTTGTTTTCTGGCATCTCATTTTATTTTAAAAATGGAAACTAATGACATTGTGATTGCAATCTGCTTTTATAATGACTACATTTAATTACGAGGAATTCTTGAGTGAGAGACTACTACCAGTTATTTTCGGTGCAAAACATTAAAAAAAGGAGGAGAAGGAGGAGGAGGGACGGGGGAGGGAAGATTTTTTTTTAGTCTGGATACAGAGCATGGATGTTTCATTCTTACGTGGAGCATCACATGACCGTGCCGGGCGAACACCGACATGCATCCCGTGCGCCTGCATGCAAACCGCACTCACTCACTGTCCCCACGCCCACCCCATGACAGCGTTTTTATATAAATGTAAATCTTCCTCCTCGTATGTGTCCCACTGTATTTAGTGCCAACTCCGTATTTTTCAGTGGGTGGATGTGGCATTAATAGCCGATAACACTGTAGAAGGTCCTCCCTAAGCTCAGTGTGAGAGGCGACCATGGGACGCAGTGAGACCCACTGATGATTGGGAAGCTGATTTGGCTGAAATTATGCCAGTCATTAAACCAAAGAGCCACTAGAGCGACGGACGCGGGCACAGCGCAGGCATCTCTCATCTTCGTCTGAATAGCATCTTCTGAATAGACGCCGAAATGTTCTTTGAGATATCCTTTATGTGTCGCTAGGTTGGTAAAAATTTTAATAAACGTATTTGTCCATCAAGGGCTTTTTTTTTTTTTTTTTGAATACTTACCCCCAAACCGAATAAACCGAAGTAAATCATCATGTCAAGATTCGAGTTGTGATTTTCGTTCAGAGCTTCGAATCGAATCCACGTTCTCGTTTCCCTTAGATCCCTTCTCCTTTAAGATGTGAGTCTCCTGCCCGTCGCTGGTTTCCATCATCCCCCTCACATCGTCTCCTTCCTCGTCTTCCTCCGCTGTGACTGTGGCTCAAGGACATGTCACTCACCGTCTTCTTTTCTTCCTGTGTCCTTGCCCCCAGCAATGTTTACCAGTCTTCGTATTTCAGCCCAGTCTTATCTACTTTGCCTCAATTCGATGACAGGAATAAAAAGATAGGAGAGGCTGCCTGCCTCCCCGACCTTGGGAACAGAGACTGTTGGGCACGGGTACGTTGACAGACGCTGGCATGGGCCGACTTGGAGGGAACCATGAAGACCCAACAGGCGAATGAATTGAACCTACTGCATCGGAATTCCTTGTCCTACACCCAGTGCGTGCCAAACCCACATGGCTTGAGTGAAGCGCTTTAAGGCTTTTCTTCCTAGGGGTGAACAGGGCGTCCTTCCACACATGTAGTTTCCAGGGCCACCAATATGAAATTCTGCCCAGCACACTGGAGCAGCAGGAAAACATATTTGGCTGCCCTCATCTGTTTCAGTAAATGATCAACTTCTGCTCGGGATAGAACATATTTTTGTAAGCTTATTTGGCAAGATGATTATCACCATGTAGTATTCTAAAATTGTAAACAAAGTAATATTTTAATGTCACAATTTCAATGGTAAGTGTGTAATAATTAGATATTTTACCTAATTGACTGTGATATGGAATCTGAGCTGGGTTTAAATTTCTCCTAAAGTAGTAAAGTTGTGTGTTTTCTGCTCTTAACATTTTCATTATCGTATCTATTGATAATTTCTGCGTACAGATACAAAATTTTAATAATTTTCTCTTAAATAAAAACACTAATCCTAGTGAGTTAGAATGCAAATACATTTTGTCTTAATTTACCAGAATCAAACCAAATGCCATTAGTTCCGAATAGAATCTGAGCTGGATGACTAAGATACTCTATTTGAATCTCTGATCTTGAAACTTTATCACAGGCTTCTCCTCCAGAAGATAGATGTGATTAGGGTCCGAGGTATTAATATTATCAGAAGTAGCACGCGTTAAGTGATGATGATAAGCTCCCTCAGCTGGGTGTCCTCCAGCCGAATGACTCTCCAAGATGTTGTGCGTTCAGAGCATTAAAAAGCATCTTATTGGATGAAAGATTTAATGCCACCACCAACCCCCATCCAAACCCCGTTCTTGGGAAGAAACCAAAGGCACAAATCTGGTGCCTTCCCCGTTGCTAGCAGAGAAACTGTCCTGCAGAACCGGTCCTAATGCATCTCCTGCCTCCAGCCAGCCACTCAGCCTCTGGCCACCCCTGGAGCCCAGTACAGCACTAGCTCAAGCTCTCAGACGGGCTCCGAGAAAGACCTGGGGAGATTAGAGAGGATAATTGACTTGCAGAAAGACTCACAGCTGTGGGAGTTTGATCCCGGTTCACCGGGCTGGTTGTTTACCCCCCTAGCCACCTCTCATGCCATATTATAGAATCTGACTTAATTGTTGTATTGACATTTAACGTATTGCGATGCTTGTATTTTAAAGAATAAAGCATACACGTATATTTTTTAAGAAAGAAGCAGAAAATGTAAGTGAAGTAGAGAAATAAAAGTGTTGTTTATGACTGCTGCTGAGGAGGATTCTCTATTTGAGTTTTATTGAGGTCACACCAGTTTTACATTATTTTAACTCAGTATTTGACAGTTGTAGTCTTTTGATTCGCTACCTATTGATCTGTTTTCTACATAAACCAGCTGAATTTATGATAATGGCTTCATCGGAACTATGATCTGAGTCCCAAAACATCCCACAGAATGGTTTAATTAACTGACATAATGTTCCTCTACCAGAAGATTTTTTAAAAACATATTTCAGGTCTATTTGAAAGGACATACAAGCACATCCTACATTTATCATAGGAACTTAATTAATTAGTTCTTAATTTGTAACACTGAGCCAACATAATCTAACGAGGTTTGTGACCCGGCGCGCACCCCCAGCGGGTCCCAGAGCTACTGCTTTACATCTGTGAATAACACTGGAGCGTCTCATGGTTTTAAATAGCCGTTAAGAAACTCAGAGAGAATGCGTAAAATAACAATGCGTTGCTTTTTCTCTCCCCCTCTTCCTAGCAATGCAGCAAAAAGGCCTCCGCCTCCCTCCTGTGGCTTTTGAAGTCGTCGGGTGTCATCGCGAACCGCCCGTGGCCCCAGATCTCGCTCACGGTCATCACCACGGCTATCGTCCTAACCATGGCCGTGTTCAACATGGTGAGTTGATGCCCCGCTCCTGATATCTGACTCGCTGCCATTTCTAAACCTCGCTCAGAGCTCCTGTGGTGACACCAGTCACTGCCAGTTAAATCCTCACCCACCGCAGCAGCAGCAGCATCACTAAGAACCTGTGCTTTCCGCCCAAACCAGCCTGGGGGCAGCTCCTCCCAGCTGTTCCCACCTTCTTGCCCCTTGGGGCTCCTGGGGACAGAAGTGCCATCAAATGTCAGCAGGATGACCACCGAAGAGTAGCAGAACCATCAAATCAAGGAGAGTGCCGTGCAGAGCTGCCCTGCTCTGGCACTTCCAGCCCTAGCTTCAAACCTCAGCTCCGGCCTTCCTGCTGTTTCGATAAACTTCCATGGCTTCCATTTCTACTTTTCAGAATTGAGAACTGACGCTTCTCCGCCAAGGTGGATTTTAGGGTAAATGAGCGGATGTCCCTACCACACTTAGGATGGCACCAGCACTCTGTGAATATTTAATGGTCGCTCTTACTGTATCGATATGACCATTACTGCTGTGTTCTTAAAAATAGGCACAGACGTAATCAATGCACCTTGAGACACGTCCTTACTATTATTCTGACACCTCGATCGTCAACCGTAATGCGACACTTCCTGTGGATTGCTTTACTGGTTGTTGGGACTACGGCGTGTCATGATGCACGGTCCTTGTCTTCCAGAAGCAGAAAATCAGGCCGAGAAGATAGAGCATAAATATTAAATCATAAGACATAGTTGTCATAAATGAGACGGCATTTATTCAACCAAAAAATATATATTAATTGAGCATAAATACATGTCTGGGACATCGCTAAGTGGTCAGAACCCAAAGACAGTTCTCTGCCTTCCAGGCATTCGCGGTGGAGTTTGGAGACGGACGGCCAGGAAGCCAGAGTCGCGTAGAAGCGCGTAGTGGGGTGGCAAGGAGAAGGGACGGCAGGGCCTGCTGGGCTGAACTGTAAAGGATGGGTAGAAGGAGCTCAGAAGACGGTGGACGTCAGGTGACAAGGAGGGAAGATATTTGTCACCTGGGACTAGAGCAGACATTTGTATTAAGAAGTCGTAGAAAATAAGGCTGAGGAAGTAATAGGGACTTTGACTGTTTACTTGGGCTCAGTCCTGGACATTCTACTTTAGAGCATGCGGTGCCTCCTGACACACCTGCAGATTCAGGTGAGGGCGATGCCACCTGGAAGGCAGACGGTCTAGGGTGCCGGCCGCAGGGGCTGGATGGCCTGCTCATGTGCCTTACTCTGCCTAGACGTTGTCTTAAGGATGCCTGGGAAGGGCCATCAGAGAAAGCCAAGGCTTGTCCTCCTCCCACTTCCTGCCCGACCCGGAAGTGGGCGTGTGGGTTCCTGCGTGTCGCCCCACATGGTCAGCTAGAGGGCAGGCCTACTGGCTCGCTCCACCTCACCTGACCACATGTCAACTCCCTCTAGGAGCACCCCGGATGAAACACGTGAGGCCCAGCCCTCATGTCAGCCTCCCCCGGCTCAGGCCAGTGAGAAAGGTGACCATGACTGCTCCTTCCTGTGTCCCTTGCATAGTCTCGGTGGTCAACTCAGAGAGCGGTGTGCCTTGTGGGCAGTTAGAACCTATGGTGCCTGCGGGGAGAGGGCTCAGCAGGCAAGCCTAGGCCCACCTGGCCCTCGGTCTGTGTTCTGACGAGGAGTCTTCTTCATGCGTCAAGTTCACCATGGGCATTCCACCGCCATGGGCAGCCTCTTGCTCCTCTGTAAAATCAGGGCGTGACACTAAGCCAGCCTTTCCTCCTTTCTACTATGGGGATGATGAGACCACCCTTCAGGGGCTGGGGCCTCATCTTGGTGACAGGCATACCTAGACCAGAGAATCATTTATTTCCAACAAGAGCTTAATCAAAACTGACCGGCGATCAGCTAGAGAACAGCGCCCCATCTGGACAGCAAGTGATTCCCTCGAGAACCGCCCCGCTTTAAAGGGACTTCACAGCATCAGTCAGCCAGAGACACGTGCTCATGAGGGGCCCAGACCCGGGTTCTCTATGTGAAGACCCAGGGGGACTTTTGCTGTGGCCCCAGAACTGTCATCGGTGCCAAGACAGCCTCAGGGTGGGGAATGTGTCACTAGGGACTTACGACTGAGACCAAAGGGACTTTGCTGGCAGCCTGTGTGCGTGCGTGTTACTAGCCATTGGGATGAGACTTCTCTGCCCTGTCCGTGTTATGGTTCTTGCAAACACGGGGCCAAGGGCGGGGACGGAGAGGCAAAGGGCTAGGGCGAGAGCCTGCAGCATCACGCGTGTGTTCTCTAAAAGACATGCCTTGTGCTTGACTTGGTACCGCGCGCGTGTCCATTAGTCCCCTGCTCTGAGAGCCAGCTCTTCAGGAGCGTGACCAACGAGCTCGAAGAGCCGTTTGGGACACGAAAGCTGCAGGAGATGCCTGGGTCAGAAGTAAAGTCCACGGCAGAGGAGCGATTGCCACGCTGCCCTCATAATTGAGGCTCCTCTCCCTCAAGCTGTGCTCGTTCACCTGTTCAGGCACAGGACCCCTAAAACACACTCCCTGAGAGGCGACCTTTGCCGTTGGCAGCACGTGCAGGTCATGGGAGTGAGACGCGGAGCGTGGCGTCCACGTGCTGCAGAGTCAGGTCTTTATTGTTGCACGTATCCTAGGACAGGGCCCCCGTGGCAAGAGCGACCATTCAGCATTTACTAAACAAAAGACTGAGTGATGAACAGGTGAGCACACAGCCCTTTGAAAAAAGAAGCCATTTATTTTCGTAAAGTCTAGTTTGACCTTATAAAACCAGGATTTATCACCTCATTTTTTAGAGACAGAATCTCTAAATGGGGAACAAATCAGATTTGGAAGCTAATTGTGTTTCACATAGGATAATTAGTAATGATTGATGGGCAGTTTGGCCACTGTCTAAATGTTTGATGAGCTGAGCATTCAGGAGCAGATTTTTTTTTTTTTTTTTTTTACAGTAATTGAGATCCCTTTGGAGAGAAGAAATATATCTTCGGTACCAGGGGAAAAAAAAAAAAAAAGAAGAAGAAGTCTTCCTGCATCGTTTTCCTTCCTCACAAAGAAAGGGGTTCATTGCCAAGTTAGGGATGTGGGAGACACGATAAAGCTATGATGGACGATCTTTGAGAAAGAGAGGAAATGAGGCTTCGCCCCAAGACTGAGCTCCCTCCCCGGCGACAAGGCCATGGGGTGGGGACCAGCTAGACTGCTTTTTCTCTGTCAGCGCTTGGGGACGGGGGCAGTGGGGGGACTCAGAACTGCTCAGTAGACTGTTTTCCCCACCAACACAGGAAAAATGGCATTTTCCTTGATATCTGGGGCCCCGAAATTAGTGGTTCTTTTCCATCAGATGCTCTTCTTATATTTATTTTAAAGAAGCATTAGGTGCATTAGGTACAGAAAGGAAATTATTTTTCATTACTAGGGATCAATTGTGGAGCTTTGCTGTCTCTTATGAACCACAGAAAGGGAAGGGCTCACTCGTCAGAGCGCTGTCTTTGGTGGCATCTGAGGGTTTACAGAAAATGCCCTCCAGCTCCTCGGGTCCCCATCGTCCTGAGTTATGGCTCCATGAGGCGGACCCAGGGTCCACGTCCCCAGCCAAACCATAGGGTACTGTAACGACCCCTGGTCCATACACACCACCAGGTGGCGCTGACGCAGATTCAGACACAGGCCCGTGGGAACTGAGACCAGCGGGTGCCCTGCAGGGAGGTGGCTCCTAAGTCACTCACTCACCTTCGGGATGACACCTACATCGTAACAGCCCTCATAGGGTCGACAGGAACGGTGTGCTCAGAGGACACGGACGTAAATGACAAAATGTCCAGCTCAGTTTTATTCAAAATAAATCGTGCGATTTTAAATACACGATGTTCACCCATGTGACACCAAACACCCTGATAAAAAGTAGAAGAAAACAGTTATCCAGATTTTCATCAACTGTGGGGTTTGGGGTGCCAAATCGCCGATGACCTGGGCGTTTTGTTCCATTTTAGTTTCTGACTGACTCTTTAGAGTCACGTATGGGAGCTTGAATCCTGTGCCACTTTTTGTGACCTTTCGACCGTGTCATCGTGTGATTTCCCACGTCATTTCGCTGGGAACACTGTCTCTAGCACGGCTTCGTAACTGTGTCGGCAGGGAGTGAGTCGTGGTTAGCTGGTGGTCTACCCGGGCTTCTAACTCCAACCACATGACAAGGGCTGCGATGTCGTCAGGCACAAGACACAATATTAAATCGGGTGTTCATAATTTAATACTATTTGAAAAGCATAATTCTGAGATGTTTTAAATGGCCTGGAAAATGTAAAATTTGGTAGTAAAGCTAAAAATATACAATGTTCATTAGGATACTGAATATCCTAGAACATGCTTTATTAGGGTATCTTGTCCTGATAATAAGGACATCATTTTCCCAATCATGACAAAGATTGTAGGATACGAAAATGGGTTTGGAGAGGACCCCAAATAATTCTGATTATTACAAGTTCAATCTGTGGAGAAAGTTGTGGCAGCTTAATTCGGAAGGAAGAAAAACAAAGGAGAAATAATGCCAGTATTTGCTTGGCTATGTGGGGGATGACATGAGTTTCTTATTTTAAAGTGATTAAGAAAAGGAAGAATTGATTCTAAATTGAGATGTGATGCCACATAGAATACAGTTTCTTGATTGTAGGGGTACTTAAAAATGCTATACAAATAGCAGAATTTTTCAAATTCAAAGCGTCATGTTTATTGTAGAGCCTCCTTCAAGACAAAGTTTTTACAGGATATGTTTCTACTCATCGTGTAGCAAGAATTTATTTTCTTTATAAAATGATATAACCAAGAAGTTTTTGTCAATAATTTTAAGATCTTAGATGCTTCAGACTAGTAACCTACCAAGCTAAACGGTCTCCTCCTATTTGTCATGTCTTGATTCTTTAGTAGTAAATCTATTTTACTTTGCGTCTGTCGAATCTAAATTTGTAACATTTTTGGAGCTCAATATTTGCCAAGTTATTACTCCATTAATTTTTTTTGACATAACTTTTTCAGTTCAACCGGAGGTTGTGACATTTTTGCTAACTTTTTTAGTAGTAAATGAAGAAATCTACTATAATTCTTTGATTCTTAAATCAGCACTTTGATTTTATCAAACGATATAATAAAAAGAAACACTACATCTAGTCTCATTCTTAGAATCTGAGAGAAAAAAATGTTCCCAAGAATAGACTTAATAAATGCTTCCTTATCTACCTAAGTAAATCGGTTTAAGTGTTTGATGAGACCTCTGCCATCAAAAGAAATAAAAAAAAAAGAAGGAAGCAAACAAAAGCAACCACAGGACTGTACAGGAAAATTTTCTTCGTAAGCCTTAATATGTATGGCCGACCTATGCAGAAAGCACAGCTCGTTTCATAGCCGAGATAAATTTCTTTCAGTAAAGGGGACCTGGCCTGAGTCATTCTCCGGTTTGTCTTTACTGAAGGCTCCTGGGACCCTCAGCCATGGTATAGAAAGTGACTGATCCTACATCACTTAAACAGACTGTGCTACAGCTTCTCAGAAAGGAGGTGGAAAGAGAGAGACAGAGGGAGACAGAGACGGAGACAGAGACAGAGACAGAGAAACAGAGAGAAAATTTCTGCCTTTCCTCCTGTGTGACCATTACATAAGAGCTACTCGTCTATTTTCTCAAGGTCACCTTTCTGTTTAACTAGCACCCTTTTCCAGCAGCCCTAAGGGCATCCCCTCAATTTTAATCTCTTGTGGTCCTGAGCTGCCAAGCACTCACAATAATAGATACAAGTGTTGATACCGGTTATTGCATTCTGCCCATAAAATTCATTTTTTCTTAAAAACTCATAAAACTCCATTGACTCATTTAATGTTTGAACCAAGACGGTTAAGAACCTACAAACACGTTGCAAAGGCTGTGATTTCGGGGCACAGAGTTGAGCGTGTGTGTGTAGTGAAGTCAGCCTCCAATGTAATTCTGACTGAGCCCTCCCTCTGCCCTGTGCTTCGTGCATTTTAAATTCAGCATTTAGCAGAGGTGCTTCTGTGCTCTTCGGCATCAGTCCTGAATCCGGAATTCATTGTTAAGTGTGTCGCACAACAATAAATAGTTATTTACTTATTCGATGGAAATGCTCAAAGCCTCAAAAAGCCAGCGAGAAGCTGTCAGCATGCGAGATGTACGTGCTGGCAGATCCGCCCGCTCCTGCTTGCTGGGCTGGGGGACCCAGCGATCGGCTTAGCACTCACCTCCCAGCTTCAGTGTCCCCTGCACCAGCTCACTGAAAAAATCAACATTTTCCTTGCAGTTTTTCCTGAGCGACTCAGAGGAAGCAATCCCTTCCACCGCCAATACGTCAAACACGAGTCTTTCTGCCTCGAGTAATCAGGCGGCCATTCTGCGTGCACAAAACCTGTTTTTCCTTCCGGTAAGAGTGTTTCGTTCCTTATCATTGCTTTTGGTGTTTTTTTGTATGCGGCTGGTCCATTTCATGCTGTGGTGTCCACTTTCTCATCTGTTCTAGACTTCACTTTTCTCCTTTGGTGTCAATACCCGAGCAGGTCCTGACCTGTTCAAAATTGCCCGTCATGGAGAAGAGAAGACCTAGCCGACTGGTACCTTTTAGGTCACATGGGCAAACTCACGATGTCACCAGCGATGCTCTCACAGAGGACTCTTGTCTTTATTCTCTTCACTGCTACATATTATGCATCCCAGCATTCGACATTTAATTACATGGCACTGAATTTCTGGGTTCATTACCTATAGATTTTGCTAACTGTTCCAGTGAGTTCCTGGTAGGTCTCTGACTCTGGGGTGACGGGACCACATTGCACGTTTCTGCCTCTCCTTTGGCCACAAATGTTGTCTATTGATTCCGTCCTCAAATAATCCTTACCGGCTCGTTTTGACCAATGCTCAAAAGGGCCGAGGTTGAAATTTCAGAACTTACTAGCACATCAGTCTTTTAAGTGAAAACAGATCAATCATTTAGGTACTACTTAATAACTTTTGTCTTCCATGAATTGTTTGTGCAAAAAAAATACATATTTCGATACTCTCTTGTGCCTTTTACGAATAATCATCTAAAAGTAGCATAGATTATTCCCATTTCGTTTCAGATAGTCAGTTTTAAGAATGCTAAATGAACTATTTCGGAAACTGAAATTGGTGATCTAACATGTATACTTTTAAAACATCCCACTAATTTTTTGACCCCCAGCAGCAATGGCGGTAAGATTTCCTGTCCTCGTTCCTCTTTCGCTGACTCGTTCCCTTGATATGTGGCTTTGATGCTCTCTCTCATCTCGCCCTTTCAGCTCTCTGCCCTGTGTATAGAGACTTGGATCATCTGGCATTGTTTTGAGGTCATGACTGTCGCAGAGGCAGGCAGATCGGGGTTTGTAGGAATGTCCCTCGGGCTCGGGAAGAAGGGACGGCATAAGTTTCCTTCCTTATCACAGGGGTCCTGGCCTTTATTTTAGGCACTGAACCCCAGCGAGGTTTAGACACCGTCTTTCAACATTAGTTATATGAAAAGTGAGAGACACGTGAGATTTTATTGGCTGTGATCGCACGTGGGCCTGTGGAACCACACTCTTTGGAGAAAGATGTCAGCTGCCAGTGTGGCTGGCTCTTCCTCCTTGAACGGACAGCGTTAGCACGCACGCAGTCCACATGCCAGTGGAGGAAAAATGCCTCCAAGCTGTGACATTCACAGGGCCCTTTGAGTTCAATGGTTTTGAGTAAAGATGCATTTTCATAGGAAAGAAAAGCAGAGCTGGCAAACCATTTTTGTTTTAAATCTCTCCATTCAATATCTTTGAGTAGAACAGTTCTCTGCATGGCACCACTAAAGGCGGTAAGGTCATTCTGAATTGCATCTGTACAGTATCTCACTTTCGAAGGAAGCGGATCATTAGCAACCCAAGATGGGGAACGGTAATATTTACTCAACCTTTTAAAAGATTCTGAAAAAATACACAGTAGACTCTAAAATCTCAGTCACACTTAGTCAATAGTCCACTGCTGTTCCCATAAAAACTCTTCAGAAAGAGAATCACTGAGAGCCTTGCCAGGTAAGCCCCGTGTGCTCACCTGGCCCCTGTCTGTGCAGGAACAGCTTCATTACCTTGCGAGTTCAGGAGTCCAGCTGAGCTTGGAGCAGACGGCGTCTCCCTTAGTAGACTTGAAGGAACACTGGGAAAGTGGTTTGGGGCTGCGCACACAGTATGCCTCATTTCTCTCAAACCCCATCTTATGTGACACCTGATGCAGACAAGGAAGTGAAGGGGACTGCCACCTTCCGTGTCGTGGTGGTATAAATGAACACGACTTCTTAATGGTCGTTTGTAATCATCATCAAAAAGCACAGACGCTGTTTACCCTGGGATACCAAGTTTAGAAATCAATTTTAAGGGTACAGAGACTTAGCTACCAGGGCGTTCATGAAAGCGTTTGTGTGACATCAATAATAAACGAAGAAGTCAAAGAAAGCGAACAATCTAAAAGCTACAATAAATTAATTGTTTCAATAAATTTCGTTTAGTTATAATCGGCCATTACGAAAGATGTAGCAAAATATTTAATGACATAGAAATGCATATTTGTGATAAGTTACTAATTGAAAAGTATCATTTAAAAACATCCCAAACAGTATAATCTCAATTTACTAAAATGATTATGCCAATAAGTAGAAAAAAAAAAGGCTAGACAGATATACAGGAAATAATGAATAGCCTCACGTTGGATATTGGGGACGATAGGAGACCCTTACTTTTATATGTGTCCTTTGTATATTTTCTAATGTTTTTAACATCGGATATATTATTTCTAAAGTGGAAAAAATAGTAATTTTAAAAAGCCCAACAAAATCAACGGTAAAGGATCTTTCCTGTGTAGGTACTGTGTGCTCTCCCAGGCATTTATGACATTTCACCCACAATGGTCGTTTATAATCGTGAGGGGGTTTATAAATGTGAGGGGGTATTATTGGAATTCCCATTTTCCAGGTAAGGAAACTGAGGCCAAAAGAGATTCAAGTAAATGACCCAAGATACAGAGGCTGTTCCCTTGGTGTTAAAACGCAAGCTAATTCCATTGATTAACTATATCGAAAGTGCTAATAACCGTATTGACTAATATTTACTTGGTTTACTTAATATTAACGAACATGAAAAAGTTATTTAGTTACTATTATTTAGTAACTAAAATAATAGGAATTACTAATTTAAATAATGTGACTCATAGCTAGTACAACTATTAACTATTAATTATATGAACTGTATCAAAAAAGTATTAAAATAAGGTCACTAGGAATTACGCCCAAAGAGAAATCAGTCTGGGAGCCCACAGGGACTGGACTCTGCCGCTCTCGCTGGTGGCCTCGGTGACGCCCGGACTCCCGAGCTCCCAGCCGGCCTGCTGGACTTATTCCCTCATTCTCATGCCCCCCTGTCGCATCCTCCAGGGCCCATCCTACCTTTAATTAATTCCCAGAATACCTTGTGCGTGCCCTTTGAGAATTCTAGAAAGGGTTTTTTGTTTTTTTTTTAATAGAAAATCGACTAAAAGCCTTCTACCCATTAACGTTTGTGTGTTCATAGATATTCGTAAAATGTGAAAGCTTTTTAAAAGCCTAAGAATGAATTTTAAAATGTGAAATCATAGGCGTATTTGTCTAAGTATTGGCTGGCACATATTTCAAATGAGGGTTATTACAAAAAAATCTTTACAATCCTCCCTCCCCCCTCCTTCCAAAAAATTACACATGCACATATTCATTTCAGTGGCTCCTTATTCTGCAGCTTTTCATTTGATTAGGCTGAACTTGTTGATAACTTTCATTCTTATAATGGGTTTCGGTACAATTTTAGCAGCAGACGCCTTTTAAAAACCAGATCTTATGAAGAGCCCCGGTTTATGACCACAACAGGCTCTGTGTAGAGGACGAAGCACGTCGTGTGACCACTGCAGCTCACTCTGTGACTCTTCCCCAAGAGCAGGACTGACGAGCTACTATCAGTAGCCTTTTAGACAGCTTATTGTGGATGACCTTAGGCAAGGAAATAAAAGAGCTAGAATGATAAAAATAAGCAGTTATCCGTGGCCAATTTTATGTAATGAAAACTAAAATGGAGTAGCTTGCAAAGTGGGCTATTTTTTAAAGACAGGGTTTATCGAACATCAGTCAGATCTCTGTTTTATTAAAATCATTAAACTTGTTTGAGTGCTGTTTCTGTTCCAAGAACGCTAAGAGAATATCATAACCCCTTGTTCATAAAAACACCGTAATGCAGCGAACGAAGGCTTAGTGAGGATGGCAGCCATTTATACGAAGAGCCCCTCCTGTTCCAGGGCTCAGGGCTCCGGGCTTTGCTCTTTCCTCTTGGTGACCTACCAGGGGCACATTATTGCCCTAGTTTTATAGATCAAGACTCTGTGACACAGGCAAACTGGGTCACTGACCTAAAGTAACTTGGGCGACGAGTGACTATAGCAGGATGGAGTTCTGGGTTATCCTGATTCAAACTGTGACACAGGCAAACTGGGTCACTGACCTAAAGTGATTAGAGCAGGATGGAGTTCTGGGTTATCCTGATTCGACGCATCCATCGTGGTAAATAGAGAAAATGTGCTGAGCCCGGCTGGCCTGTGGCCGCTTCCTGTGAATGAAAAAGATGGCAGCTGCCACTTTTCCCCACGCTTGGCTCCTCCCATCCCTGCCGGTGCCTGTCCACTTCTGAGATATTTGTCACTTGCCTTAATCGAAGCTTTTAGTTTAAATTGTTTTTTTCTGCTTTATGAAAGTCCCTGACGTGCGGTTTCTCTTTTAACAAAATGCCTGTACTTTCTTATGCTTTTAACAGAACTACCTACAATGATTTATATCCTCTTAATGAATTAAAGAATTGAAAGGACAAAAAAGGATTGTGTACGCTACGATTTTTTTAATCTATAAATGCATAGGTCATTACGGTTTCGTTTTCAAGAAGCAAACGACATTGGCTTATAATGACATGTCTTCGATATAGATTTTTTAAGAATTATTTCTCTTTGGCAGTGTGCATGATTTTATTAAACGCGGTAAGCTGGTCAGCAAGCCATGTAATGAGGAATTCTATTCTGAATCAGATGCGTCCACTGGATCGAAGAGCAGAAATAGGCTTCTGATAGCATAACAAGTTTCTGAGTTAACCGGGGAGCTTGGCGGTGGTCCTGATTTTAATTCCTATTTCGGCATTTCTCAGAAGAGGTCCTAGGTATTCATCTGACCTGTCTTCCCCCTGTTCCAGTACTTTATCTACAGCTGCATTCTGGGATTGATATCCTGCTCCGTGTTCCTGCGGGTGAATTACGAGCTGAAAATGTCCATCATGACGGCGGCGTTGGTGGGCTACAACACCGTCTTCCTCCACACCCACGCCCACGTCCTGGACAGCTACAGCCAGGTCTTGTTTGAGAGGTAACCGGCTTCCTCTCCCTTCTCTTAGATGTGGTTCTCTCATGGGATGTTGATAACGTGAGCGCAGGTTGAGTAAGTGTGAATTAGTAGCGACATCGTCGTTGGCGATCACTGCCTGAGAGTTTCTCTGCAGCCTTGTTTCAGAAGGATGATGTGTGTTTTTATTATGGAGCACAGAGAATATGTATTATCAGTTATGTAGAAGATGCAAACTGGTTTAGAGAGACAATTTTATTATATTCTATACTATATTGATGAGGAGGATCTGAGGTTCCTCATCCTCAGCATTATTGATAGTCCGTGCTGAATAATTTTCTGTCGGGTGGGAAGGGGCTCTTCTGTGCAATGGAGAATATTCAGCAGCATCCCTGGTTTCCCCCAACTTGAAGCTAGACCCAGTCGCCCCCACAGTCATGACAACTAGAAATGCCCCCAGGCACTGGTGAATGTGCCCTGCTAGGCAAAAGGGACCCCAAGTTCAGAACGACCAAATCGACATACACAAAAATCCTGGAAAGATATGCAGATATCTTTCCGAGTTATAGAGCTAAATTTCTTACAGAAAAGTTCCTGAAATACCCATGTGTGGACGGTGCACTACGGCCAACTGTGACGATTCCCTGTTCCGTGAGAAGTGTGACATCCAAGAAAGATGTGACCATGTTTACCCTCCCGCCTCAGGCCCACACTCTGACCGTACACTTCTCTCGGGCTACTCGGTCGGGTTTACACGGGGTTTCTCATAATCAGATTATTCATTATTATAATGAATCTTTGTTTCCTGCTTGACGAAAGCTTTAATCATTACACTATCCTCCATCTCTCATTGTAATAGCAAAACAGTGTTTCATAGCAAGTGTTAGGTTTCTTTCTGGACCCAGCGGTCTCCTTCTATGAGCATTTTGCATAATCCTGCATGATATTTCCATATTTTTTAACCTAAAATAAATGCCTTAAATATTTGCATAGACTCGATGCTCCAGCAAGATGGTTTTGTGGACAACGCGTGGCCGCAGACTTCTCCTTCAGAGGTCTGGTGTCGAGAGCAGTGAGCACTTCACTGTATAAATGTTCCTTACCAATAAGAACACTTCAGGATCACAACCGCAATGCATTCTCTTCACCTAATTTAATTTTCATCATCCTCCGTACCATGAAATCCTCCTAACAGTCTGTAACAAAGCTTATGGTCGTGGAGTTGCAAAAATGTATAATTGTATTAAGGAAATTTTATGATTCCTTAGCTAGGATGAGAATGAAATTAGAAGTTAATTTTCCAATAAATTCTCAAAATCGCCATCCAAACATGCTTTCCTATTTCCGTGCTGTATCTAGAGAACCCGTATCGGATCCCCAAGTAAATACAGCATTACCGATTTTTACGCGCAGCTGACAATGCCATCAAATTTCCCTTTATTAAATTTAAAGCTCCTGCATTTGCTAACAGCCATAGCACAAGAAGAAATTAGATTAGCAAGTTTCTGATGGGAGAGACTTATTTGGGGGGATCTGAGCGAGAGACATCATCTGTGATTAGAACCCCGGCAGTAGTCGAGTGGTAATTCAGTTGCCGAAAATGAGTTTTTACTTTCAGAGTCCCTTGGTTTCATTTAAGATCTTTAGTGTTTGTTCTCCTGGCGTTGTCTTTATAATAGCCTTAAAGCTAGGGAGGCCGACTCGAGAAGCTCAGGGCAATCAGCTAGCATCCTGTCCAGAACAGGTGCATCTGACTCCCCCATCTTGATGTTGAGATTCTGGCACTTGCTGACCTGATTTCTGCACGAGCCGCCACAGTGCTCTCAGAAGTGTTCCTGCCGAAAGATGAATATGACTAACATGATACCGAATTTTCTCTGATGTCGGTTTAGAACTAACCCCATGAGAGACTCTTAAGAGTGGGAGTTTAGAATCCGCTCCGGATTTCCCAGCCTCCATAGGTGCATGATACCGAATTTTCTCTGATGTCAGTTTAGAACTAACCCCATAAGAGACTCTTAAGAGTGGGAGTTTAGAATCCTGTCCGGATTTCCCAGCCTCCATAGGCGTTTGATGCAACGCTGTGCTTCGTGCCGGAGCCAGAGCCCATCAATTTCAAGGATTCTTTCTCTTACGAGATTCAAGAGATTCCCGCGTCAGATGACCGATAAAGGCTTCGTCATCCTTTGGTTGGTTGACGCTGACACTCCTCTTTCAGACACGAAACTAGGACTAGGATCCTCAAAAAGCAAAACGGAACCAAACCACTGAGATGGTGCCTCACGAGTGACATCCCTAAGTCTCGACCAAGCCGAAGGCGCCCCATGAGGAAGGAACTGGCTTAGGGGGTGCCAGGCAGCGCCTCCTTTTCTCACCAAGCTAGTTGGTGGTACTGAAGTCACGTACTTGGTCTTTCCCCTTTTCCGACCCATTTCTGGTCACTGAATCTTTGCCTCCCACCCCCAGTTTTCGCTCCCAGTTTCCTGGTCCTTGCCCTGGTCGGTCAGTGTCCTTGCTGCCCATCTGGCCTCCAGACTGGCCCCTCGTTCAGCCTTGAATACACCTGGTAGACCTACCGTGAGCTTCTGGCTTAATGACTTGACGGTCAAATAGTAATTACAAATTCTTTTAATCTTTGCAATGGAGTACACATCTCTAAAAGATGTGTTAATGGTTTTGGTTTACATGGCAGCTATTGACTATTATCATATAAAATCTGGGGGAAAAATATCTGTTAGAATGGAGGCCAGCAACATCCCAATATTTAGCGTTTACCTGCCATTTTATGATTCTGATAAGTCACCTCATGGTGACAAGAGCTCAGAAGTTTCTGGTACTTAGATGGTCCAGAAGATGTTTTCTAATTCTTTGGCATGTACCACAGTCCCCTTTCTTCTCTACGAGGACAAGATATTTTGCTGTATCAGTCAATAGGGATTCCGGTTCCAGTTCACGCCACTGTCCCCGGAAGCCTCAGCCAAAGCTGCTGAGGACATCGAGTGCTCTTTATGGCGTGGTGATGCTGATGGCTGTCGATGTCGCTGGAAGCTGTGTTTGTCTCGAAGATGCTGCCCGTGACAAATGCTTATGACAGAGTCTGCAAGACATTGTCACATTTTCCCTGTGAGCTTTGTTCTTACAGAAGTGAAAAGTCTTAGGGGATGAGTGTTATCATTTCATATGGATCCAGAAATATGCCTTTCACTTTAAAGAGGTGTGTCTGGGGTGGAGGACGACCTTGAAGAGAGGAGATAATCAGGACCCCAGTGGACTAATCAGTCCTGTTTAGTCACTGTGGCTTAGCAGAACACTTTGCGGACGGCATGTCGAGTGTGCTGGTCAGCAGCAGGCACATCCGGCGCCCGGCGTCATTCAGAAGCACGAGCTTGTCGCTGATGGAGACATCTGTGTAACCGTCACTTGTGGATCTTAGCAACAGCTTCGCGTCAAAGGCAGCAGCGGGAATGCCGGGCAGGCACATGAGTTACACACTTTCCGTTCCGCGTGCCGTTGTTCTGCTTGCCTTGTTTTTCCCGAGTCTCATGGAAAACTCAACAGCCAGAATTCAAGATACCATGACCTATTTTGACAATGTCCCAGCTTGGGATGGACGGATGACGAGCTCACCGAGAGTCTCAAGGAAGAACTGCAGAATTAATCACTCCAGAGAAAGGCGGGGGGCAGTGCAGGCCGCCACCTCTGGGGAGGGCAGTCTGGGCGTCTTCCGAAGCACGGCGTCCGAAGCACCCGCATCTTTACACTTCCCTCATCTAGATTAAAAATGTGCTCTAAATTTGCATTCAAACTCGTAACCCATCCACGTTAATATTAAAGGATTATTAATTACTTTCGAATTTCACATCTCGGCTTCTCCTCCTTCCCAATCCCCTCACCGTGTGCCATGTCCAGACAGTACGGGACACGCGTGTTTCCCTGTGGCTGATGCCCGCCAGCACTGGGCTGGACGCAGGTAACCCGAGCTGCCTCGTTTCACAAAAAAGCAAGTCATCCTAGGACTCCTTAAATTCCACTCAGCTTTCTTTTGTTTTATAAAAAGCAGCACGGGAGCGGGAAGGCAGTCAGGGGAAATATAATGGCCGCGTGGAGAGGCAGAGGAGAGACGGAGCCATCGGGAGGACCGTTCCACGTAAAACTATATACATGTTTAACCCACGGACTGTATACTTGAAACTAATAATAATATTTTTTAAAAAGCAACTATTGGCCGACTATTTTGTGATTTAACCTAAAAAAGAAAACATCTGTGATTTGAACCCACCTACAGGAAGGTGCTCAATATCGAAGCTGTTTTGTTTTGTTTGATTTTGGAACGAGGGGTGGAAGGAGCTGTCACAGAGGCTGTGCCCATAGCTATATAGAGCACATACTTCCCGTCGCCCTCCATCCGGCGAGGCTAAAGCTGCACGCAGCCCACCGTACCTGTCCCGCTGATATGCTGGTGGCACCCCCTTAAAGTCTCTCTTCTTCCGTGCCATATGAATCAGGGCACATTGTGGTCTCCATGGTGAGGGGCCAGCTCTGCCTCTGCTGACCTGCAGCTGCCTCCAGGGCCTGATTCTAGGCAGGAGCCCATCCCTCGTTGTGTCGGTCTGTTTGCAGACCCAGAATGCCCTGCTTGGCCTCTATGGCTGCCCCTCTGAGAAGGACTGAGGCTCTGAGCTGCCTGTCCTTGGATGCATGGGGCCACCTTCTCTGGAAGTTTGCATAGGATTCAGTGACTCTGTGTCCAGCCAGGGGAGGGAGGACTGTCTGGAAATGAAACCCCTTAGGTTTCAAAGCAACATGGTCATTTGCCCACTCATTTGGTTGTTTTTATAGCACATTTATAACGTGACACATATTACATGTTTATTGAGTACCCTCGCTAAGCTCGGCCTGATCGCTGGAGTCTGAGCACACCGAGCTGACTAAAATATAGTCTCTGCTATCGAGACGGTAACGAGTCTATGGCCACGCCCCCCTGAACGTGCCCGATCCTGTCCGATCTCGGAAGCTAAGCAGGGTCGGGCCTGGTTGGTACTTGGATGGGAGACCACCTAGGAAGACCAGGTGCTGTAGGCGGGAAAAATTATTTTAAAAAAAAAGATGACAAAACACGCGATAAGTAAATCATGTGTCTCTAAAAGGCCGAAAGGAGACTCGTCAGGGAATCTTGGTCAAGTCAGCTTCGGAAATGAGAGGACGTGCCGGCCGGGAGCTACAGGAGGAGGCCCGGAGGTGTCGCTGCGGAGATTCGGAAATGCAGACGAGAAGGGCCATTGGCATCAGGGCAGAAGAAGGCGTCTCTCCCTTTTCCCTTCACAACCTCCGCATCCGTCCACGGACACGGGCGCCTTTGCGGGAGCTGTGGGGTCCAGTACCATATGCCAAGGGGCCCCAGAGGAGTCTGACCCCCCTAAGTGTCAGGTGACGGTTACAGACCTCGGTCGCGGCTGTGGACCCTGCGGTGGCCATGCACCTGCTCCAGCCCTTCTCCACCATAGTCTGGGAGATGCTGGAAAATAGTCACCCAAGAGCTGGAGGGCCCTCGTGGGGTCCAGATTTCCAGAGGAGACGGTTCAGAACTCTGTTGGTCAGCACACTGTTGGAAGGAAAACACAAGTTTGGACGCATCGAAGTCGGCAGGAGGCACAGCCGAACTCGACCCGCAGCGTCCGGCTGCGGAGGACGCGCCCGAGGAGGCCCGCGCGCGTCTGTCTGGACCCCTCCAGGGTGCTGACTCGGAAGCTTCACGACGGGGGGCGTGAACACTCCGGAAGAGTGGACTCTGGAAGGGCATTAAAGGGGTTCCGCTTCCTGCACCGAGGCTTCCGTCAAGCGGGGATCACCCGGCCCGCAGGTACCCCCTCTGCTCCACGCGCCTCCCCTGGGCGCAGTGCCAGGGGCGGCGGACAGAGCGCTGGCAGACGGCTGGCGAGCACACGTGGAAGGCGGCCAAATGTGGGGACTTGAACTTGAGCGAGTTTTGTCTGGGAAAACCCAAGGGGTCCGTCGGCATCAGGCCTGGCACGGGGGAGGACGCACGCGTGACCATTCTGCCACACAGGGAGCAGAGGCGCAGCGGGTTCCGAGGACCCGTGGGTGGTGGGCGCGGGCGCGGGAAGGCAAGGCATCGCCAATGGTCAGGGAAATGCTGATGCCAACACAGCGAGGCGTCACCTCACACCTGTCAGAGTAACCGTCATCGTGGCGAGGTGACAAGTGTGAGCGAGGGGGGAGGAAACGGGACCCTCACGCACTCTCCGTGGGAAGAGGAAGGGCGTCCGCCACCGTGGAAGATGGCGTGGGCCTCCTCGGGAAATTAAAAACAGAACCAGCATGTGGCCCAGCAGTCCCGCTTGTGGGCGTTTCTCCAAAAGAAGTGAGATCAGGACCTCGAGGAGACATCTGCGCCCCGCGTTCCCTGTGGCAGCAGCCGGCGTGTGAGTGTCCGTCGACGGACAAAGACGACGAGGCGAGAAGTGTCCACCGACCTCGCCTTTACCCCGGTTTGTCTCCTGTTACCAACACGACAGAAACTAGGGGTCCTGAGGAACTTCTCTTCTTAAAAGATAGAGGCTCGTTTCAGCCAGAAAAACACGATTTGTGGGGTTATGTTTGTGTCTACATGCCCAGACTGCTTTCTCTCCAGAGAGTAATGAAAACGTCGTCGTCACCTCACTGTAACTGTTTGCCTTCAGGTTAGAGACTGGTTGACCAAGTGACCCCTCCTTACCTGTCACTCAGTTCGTTGGGTTCCTTTGTTCATTTGGACACTCAAAACTGGAGTTGCCAGAATGCAGCCTCAGGATGAGGGCCGGCTGTGAATCAGTGTGTGGCTACGGGCATGTTTGGGCATCTAAGTCTCCAGACTCCGATTTTTAGGCATGAAAGGAAGCATAGTTGGTCACATTTTGGGCAGAACTGTCATTGAATTACAAGTCATAGAGTTAGAAACTTTCTCAATTTTATTAGCTCTATAGTCGCTATTGTATAACTCAGGGATAGGACAACCTATGCACGTGAAAGTCCACAGTGGATTTCATCCTGAAAACTTAAAGAGGGGAAATTGAGATAGAGAGAGAGAGGGAGGGAGGGGGGAGAGAGAAGGGAGGGAGGGAGGGAGACACTTATACGAAAGCGTATTATTCCCAGGTTAGAGTAGCTCGTACAAATTGTTTCCTACTTCATTTTTATACCTCACATGATTATTAATTTCTAGCAAACCATCTCTTTCCCAGAATAATAACTAAAAATCTGGAGAAATCACATATCAAATTATCTGTATGGATCCCAGAAGTATAAAGAGAATATTATTAATACTGTGGTATGCCTTCCTCTTAGATTTGGTGGAGCTTGGTACAAAGTAAGAAACCTATATTAATTTGGAAGATTTTTTTATCGAGCTCTCAAAATAGGATTGCTTTGTTCTGATGCGCTCTGGGTGTGAACATCTATTTGAAATGTGTGCGTGTGTCGCATGAGAATATGAATGCACTAGAGGTTCTGAAGTTTGTTGCTACACAAATTCTAAGTCCTGTGTATGTTGTTTTGTGTTGTTTTTGTCTGTCCGTTTGTTTTTTAATAGACCAGGTATTTGGAAAGACTTAAAGACCATGGGCTCGGTGTCTCTCTTCATCTTCTTCGCCACCCTGCTCGTTCTGGGTAGACAGGTAAGAAGTCTGTTGTTTTTGTTGTTGTTGTTGGTTTTTTTTTATATATCAGTTCTCTAAAGTACTGTATTAATAATACTTTGCCGGTGTGCATTTCATGCAAACAAATGTTGAAGCATCAGAATCATCTTGTGTAGGAAAAAAGTGAGTAGCACACAGTGTGGGGGCTTAGATATTCACAAAAAGATAAAGGTTTCTCTTTTTTTCACAAGTTTCATAAACTTTGTGAATGTTAGATATGTGAATTATTTTTCCCGTTACATCTCAAAATACATTGTGTAGGTTTTGTAAGCCTAAAAAGTATTCCCTCAATAGCTGACAGCCCCTTGACTGGGGTTTCATTTGCTTTTCAGAATATATAGCATGCTTCTTGTTCTTTGAAGTAGGTATAAACGCTTTCACTGTCACTTGCAATCATTTCTAGAAATAATAGTTTTCCGTTCAAACATTTTATTTCGTGATGCGTGTGAAACTGCTCCTCCTTGGGGCGCCCCCTCCCCTGCTGGTCTCCCAGCAGAGGCTGTGGGTGCAGGATTTTTAAGGCAGGATTCTTCCTCTGCCTCAAAGCTTGCGTTGAGTTCTTTGATGGAGAGTGTGAAACCAAAAAGTGATTTATTTGTTTGGAAATAACCAGCTCAGGTGCAAAGCCAATTAAGTTCCAGGCATGTCCCTGGACTGTTAAACAGCAGGAAGCTGTCGGTGGTCAGGGCAGAGTCCAGAACTGTGACTGCCAGCCCAGCGGCCTGGGGACACTGTCGCGTTCTATCTATCTTCCTGAGCAGTGTGAGCGGCCACCTTCCCTCGGAGGTCATGGGGCAGCCCTCAGCCTGGTCCCTGGAGCTGACCGCTGTCCTCAGGCAGCTCTGCCCTGCACAGCTTGGGAGATGCCTGTCACCCCGCCACCCTCTCGCCTCTGTCCCCGGCACCTGCTTGGTTCTGCTTTCTTCGGCTGGCATTTTCGACAGTCCACCGTTTCGGTTAACCCCTCGTACCACGACCTGTTCTTTCTTCCTGGCTTTGTTTGTCGTCTTGATTCTCGGTTTTCTCCGTACGGACCCGCTGTCTGTTCTCACGCAGAGAAAAGGCGCAGCCTCCCTCGGGAAACCCTGTGCTTTAGATGTGAAAGAATCGAGCTTTCTTGCAGAACATCACCTAGATCAGGGGTCCCCAATCCCCGGGCCGTGGCCTGTGCGGGTCAATGGCCTGTTAGGGACCGAGCCGCACAGCAGTTAGGTGAGCGGCAGGTGAGTGAGCGAAGCTTCATCTGTATGTGCGGCCTCACCACCTCGGCTCCACCTCAGATCCTCAGACATTGTTAGATTCTCAAAGGAGCACCGGTCCCTGGTGCCAGGAAGGTTGGGGACCGCTGACCTAAATGGTCATCCTTCAGGAAACCACATGGCCGTCCCCTCTGCCACATCACCTGCTTCTCCGTTCCGTGCCTAATGCTTTGCACTTCACTTTCTCCTGTTAGAATGATCACTTGGATTGCTTCACAGCAGCACCTTTTAAGGACCTAGAATCAAATGAATTCTCCCAAATTTTTATTGATCGTTGAGATGATAAACATTCAATCCAACTGCATGAGTGTCGAATCCAGTGACTGCATGTTGATCGGTCGGTCGCTCCCTTAATTGATTTAAGATAAATAATCAAAAGCATTAATATTATGGTTGAGCATCAGTTTAACACAGTAGTGTTGATGCCAGTCTTACATGGTGTCATTCCTTTTTTTGTCACTAATGTAATTGTAAGTAACATGTACATCTAGAGACCTAAAAAGTTATTATTTCCCACGGGAGTGACCATGTCCCCAATTGTCCTATAACAACTGGTACGAAAGATGCACCAAGGAGACCCAGGAGGCTGTCCCCCCAGTCTGAAATCATCAGGAGAATGATTTCCTAAGGTCTCAAGCCTTGCGGGCAAACAAGAACCGTGAAGTCTGAGATGTAGTGTTTCTGCACACCCTTCCAGAAAAACAAGTATATTATAAACAAACATCCGATACTTGAAATAAGGGTTTTAAGTTTTATAAATGTTCATGTCCTCAGAGTTATTTATTTCCTAAATGGTTTTGTAAACCATAGCACAGACATTTTGCAACTTATTTTGTTGTCTCCTTTGTCCTATTGGCACCCCTGCCCCATGACCATCTTTTTTGAACTGATGGTGGCATGTTTGTTTCCTGAGCAAATTACTACACTAATTATCGCTGCGGGTGTCTAAGAAACCTTGCTGAAAACATAACACATGCCCTGGACAAGGCTACTGCCCTCTGCACTGAAATCGAGTCTCTGGCAGAAACGCTTGGTCAGCTGTAGGATCTCCCGAGTTCACACAGCACACTGCCATCGAGGGCCTGCATTCTAAGTGGGCCATTCAAGATACGAGACCAGCAAGTGGCAGTCTAGTGGCCCAGAGTGAGGCTGATGTCACTGGGTGTGAAAGTTCAGATCCAAGCAGAGTGGGGGTCACACGCTCCCTGTGCCCCAGCTAGGACGCTGCTTCTGTCCCTGTAGGAAGAACTATGGGCTCCAGCTCCTCAGCGCCTATGTTTCGGCTTGTGCTCCATTATGTCTGGTCTTGAGCGGGCGTCTGTGACTTCTCAATGTCGTTTCGCTTAACACCAGCCACACTACTGATTTAGCCCCCAGAAGGCCCGGATAAATCATCTGCTCTCCGAGCAAGAGGCCTTTTCTAGTAAACACCTACGGAGTGTGATTACCGTAAATACAGAGAGTGGAAAATGTGGCATTAATGTGAAATCTTAATATAAACAATCTTAAAAATCTTACAATCTTTTAAAAAAAAATGTCTGGATATATGAGATAAAAAATAAAGGCCACGCCAGAAAATGAGGAATAATTTTTGAGTGTGTCACACATACTTTAATCAAACCTGCTTGATGAGTGATGATAGTTCTTTCGGTTTCATCGTGGGGAACTTTTTAATTGCCATTTGCTGATGAGAGGCCATTCGTGTGTGTGCGTGTGTGTGTGTGCGTGTGTGTGTGTGTGCGCGTGTGCGCGCGTGTGAGGTTTTTCGCTGTCAGTAGCGTAATCAACCAAACTATAAAAGAAACAAACCCCCTGTCAGATTTAGTTCTTCTTCACATTTATTTGTGAATAAATAACTTATTAGCTGTGTTGAAATACGCTCTCTCTATGGGGCTCTTCTGCTATAGGAGGATTCACCCAAGTCTGTTTCATTATATTAAATTATTTACATCGTAGTTGGCAAGAAACGATGCCCAAACCAAAGCGACCCTTTGACAGGCCTCTCTAGTTCCACAACTTTAATAATTACTGGCTTTAAAAAAACATTGAATTTTAATACATTATAAAGTGTGAATACACGCTTTATTACCGGGCACTATCTTAATTAAATGATATTAAAATGAATTTTTGTCTAAATATAATGTCGTTCTCTCAATACGGTGGAATACCAAATGGAAAAAAATGCATATTTTTCAGTGAATACTTAATTATATAATTTGCGGTAGGGGAAAACTGATTTTTAAATATTAAAGGCAAACAGCCACAAATGAACACTATTATTTTCTAAATGCAAATCATCAAGCAATGCACTGTCTCTTCTAATGTGCTTTCCATTTTTCATTTATTCACTATTTATATTCTAATATTCCTCTTTTCAAAAAAAAAAACAAAAAACAAAAACCCGGAGCCATCTTGGACTAACATAACTATGCAGGAAGCGTTCACGTCCTTTCTGGCAAGCTGCAGGCTAACTATCTTCTCTGTTTCCGAGGCTTTTGCTGTCCTGAACTTGCCTGTTGCAAACCCATGTCAGAGGTCGAATGAGGGGCGTTTGGGGGAACAGAGGGCTTTGTAGGGAAGGTGACAGCTCTGTTTGGGGGCTCTTTTTTTTTTTTTTTTTGGTTTGGTTTGGTTCTTTTTATTTTCTCTTTAAAAGTCTCCTCTCTGGCAGAACAACATGCCTATTGTTTCTTTACCTCTGTGTCCTCTTGTAACAGAATGAATATTACTGTAGGTTAGACTTCTTGTGGAAGAACAAGTTCAAAAAAGAGCGGGAGGAGATAGAGACCATGGAGAACCTGAACCGCGTGCTGCTGGAGAACGTGCTTCCTGCGCACGTGGCTGAGCACTTCCTGGCCAGGAGCCTGAAGAACGAGGTGAGACGAAGGGGGCTGATGGCCGGATGGGGCAGCGGGCTGGTCGAGTGCTGGACGCTCCGGGCAGTGACCTAGATGCCCATGGCCTCTAAACGCCTAAGGGTTCAATCGAGTCCAATATCGGCCTGATTTGTCCATGTTCAAGAGGAGGCTGACCGGTCGTACCGACATCAGTTAAGACTAGTGAGCCGGGATCACTTCTGAACGCCTTAGCATGACGTCGATGTTATTTCTCATTTTTCTTTCTCAGTTAAGTGAAGTTCTGAATGTTCCGTATGAGGTGCTCGGTCCCAAATATGTCACGAAAGTGGCCACTAAACTCTCTCTGGGGTGGGAGGACGCCTTCCTTACCAGCAGGCGACAGAGGCCCGAATCCAGAGGCAGGAGGAAACCATGCGTCCCACACATCCACTCATGACTTCCCTGAGAGCCTTTTAAAGGTCTTAGAATTTCAGAGACATTAAACTGGGGCGTTATCAACACATTAACAGATCGAAGTGTTGAATCCATTCGTCTGAATAGGCTGACACGGGAATTTCATGGAAGGTCTAAAGGGATGGTATTTAACGAGCGCTGGAAAGGCTAGCGTGTTGTTTCAATGTCGAAATGGTTTCTGAAATGAAATGTACGGAATTTCTTTAATATTCCTGAATGACAAGGGTCGGCAGATGTATCTGCCGTGGAACTCTACTAATTTAAGAAACACGACCTTGAGTACCCACTATGCACAAAGCCCTGTGCTGAGTGTGGTGGAGTCTCAGAGGTGTGCGAGGCGCAGCCCCGCCCTTAGGGAATATTCGATGAGGATGAGCAGCAGGTGAGGGAGGGGGAAAGCTACAGGTGGGTGGGCTCGTTAATACACAAGCTCGACCTTGGTGATGCTGAAGCGCAAACATCCTCAAGGCGTGGGACGGTCCGTGTCTGAAGCTTATGCGAAGTGGGCAGTAAGAAGTGCCAGGTGGTGGGCGGGGTCCAGTGTCCTGGGAGCACACGGAGCTTGCTGAGCAAGTCCACAGATCGACCACAGACCGTTCAGTTTTCTGTTTCTTCTCCCGGTGTTGTCTACATTCAGCAGGTTATTCAGCAACCTGTTTACCCTTTGGTTGCACATAATGAAATCGCTACACGTATGAAAAATGAACCGTCTGTGTTCGTTAGCCATGGAAAAGTGTCCTTATGTCTATAGGTCTAGGTATCAGGTCAGTCTATAAATCCGTCATGTCCGTGATGTTGTCCCTGCCCTCTGGTCTGGCCAGTGCCGGGCCCGGATACAGAGATGAGAAGGACAGAGGCGACCTCATCCGTAGGAGGGGACGGCATCCTGCTGTCTGCAGAGGCACTGGCCATGTAACTGGGGGAGTCCACAAAGGCCACGTCAGTGAGGTGGTGACATCTGAGCCTGAAAAGAAAGTGCTAGAAACTAGCAGTGAGATGGAGGCTGGGGAGGGAGAGGAAAAGAACATTCCAGGCCCCGTGGGACTACTTCTGGCCAGCTGCCAGGACAGCGCTGTAGACCCCCCTCCGCCCCTCTGCGGGCTCCCCGGGCCAGACTGGGGGATCCTGGACTCTCTCTTCCTTCCTGTTTGCCTGACTTGTTGGGAGCAACGTCTGGACCTGGTCGCCCCCTCAGACCCCACGGGAAAGCAGGGTGGAGAAGAAGGAGGAGACCCAGAGCCGGACAGTGACGTGGGCTCCAGTCGCAGCCCGTCGTTTTCTGTCACCTGAGCCTGAGCCGGCTGATGCCCAGGTCCCCCCTGGGGTTGGAGAGAAGCTGGCCTCCCGGGCTTAGTCGGCATTACTGGGACCTGAGCATGGCCTCCACGCAGGCCACGGCTTGTCTCCCAGGGTATGGCAGTTCACGAAAATACAGAGAGAAAGAACAGATCTGCCCAGTGCGCTTGCTCCGTCATATTGAGAGCAGAGTAGAAAAGGAAAGACTTGGTTCTGCCGTCCGTACATGTTGTAGGGATGTGAGGCAGCAGCAGAAGGCGCGCCAGGGTGGCCGGCCCTGGGAACAGGAAATGGCACGGGCCCTGCTTTTCCAAGAAGGGGTCATGACCCGCCATGGCTCGCCATTGCCCTGCTTGCGTGTGTTAGGATACCTCAGTGGGCAAGAACGGTTCTCCTGAGAGGCTACCTTGCTGTCACGGTGCTGTTGAGGTGCTCACTCCGTGCCAAGGGGTCATCTGGGTGCCCCGGTGACAGGGCTCATGACAGCGTTGACGCAGAGTGGCTTCCGTCACCCTGCCCGGCACGCAGGAAGTGCCAGCCGCTGGCGCTCCTCCCTGCGCTCCGAGGACGGCAGTGTCCAACAGAACCGCCTCACGCCTCCTGGAGCGGGGCGATTCCCGTGACGCGCTGCCCCGCGGTGGCGCCTGTCCATCCTGGCTTTGTCGGGCTGCCCGCGGCTCTTGACGGGCAGGGCCAGCAGGAGGGCAGACCCTCGCTCCCAGGGCCAGCCCCCGTGCCCACGTAGCAACTCTTTCCTTCCGAAACGTTCACTGACCCTGAAGGTTTCACTATATGTTGGAAAAACTGGAAACACCTTGAAATTGTTTACAGGACATTGTAATTTTGTTCACGTCTGTTGGACCTAGAACCACGAGCCTCTTTCTGTTTAAAAACAAGTGGATGTCCATATTAACTATTGTTGGTGTCGCATACAAAACGATAGGTCGCCTGAGGCATTTCACTGGTTCTTTCTGGTAACCTGATGAGTTTCATCTGCTCCTTTCAGGGGACACAAAAGAGGAGATGTCTAAAGGCCTCAGCCAAAGACTGAAGCCATCAGGCGTCATTTTAGGACAAGGTAGCGGTTTGAGAATCATTTTCTTTCCCGTCGGTTGCTTAAAGGACACTTTTTTCCTAAGTCAGACATCTCTGGCCTCGTGGACTGTCGAAGGCAGAGGTGACCGAGAGGTTTAAGTGGGCGGGCAGCTCATAGCAGCTGGTGGTGGCCATGGAGCGCCATGCTGAGGACCGTGAGCCTGCCTCCAGCTCATTAGAAGCGTTCGCCTGTGACAATGCCACAGTCGAGGGCCTGGTGCTGGGGTGGGGCGGGGGGGTGGGACATTGGGTGGCCACTCCACCCATCCCGCATGGAGAAGCACTCGCCCTGGGAGCATGCCCCTTTAAAAGGCGTCCCCCGTCTCTGCCCGCAGGATTTATACCACCAGTCCTACGCCTGTGTCTGCGTCATGTTCGCCTCCATCCCGGACTTCAAGGAGTTCTACACGGAGTCGGACGTGAACAAGGAGGGCTTGGAATGCCTGCGGCTCCTCAACGAGATCATCGCCGACTTTGACGACGTAGGTACTGCGAGCTCCGTCTGCAGGGCGGGCGGCCCCAGCCCCACACGGGGGACACGCTTGCGGTCCCGTGGCCCACGCGTGGGAAGTCATTCATCGCGGGGTGTCCTCACACTCGTCCTTTAGTGTGGCTTCCTGTGGCTGGAGCGGAAGCCTTTTGCCCTGCCTGGGTCCTGGACGGTTTTGGACGGACGAATGTGTTTTATTTGTGAGATGGTGTGATCGCTAGGAACAGCTACCAAAATCTGGCCAATTTTCTCGAAAGGCTTGAACTCCAAGGAAAACACTCGCCCTTCCATTTTTACGTACAAGATAATTTATTTACTATTTATTATAGTAGATTCTTGGTATGTCTGCCAGTGCATCCTGCAGGCTCTCTGTCAGATAGATACCAACTTCAACTGTGTATGGATGACATGCTTTATTATTGAAAAAGCAATATGTAATACGGAATAATATATTTTAGAAAGGACAAAATGTGTGTTTTACAATTTGAAACAGGTGTCATTTTTCAATTTTCAGTATTCTGTATACACAAAGAATAATGTGTTTTATTTTCTGATAAGAACAAACACACCTCTGGTTTTAAGAATTTTGCTGCTATACTGTTTTTATAAATATTAAGCATAATATAGGAAAATTGACATCCATGAACATAAACTCATCATGCTGCTTTGAACTCTGAAATACAGTGATTAAATGATGTACTACGACGGTTTCAGGCCAACCTTACTAAACGTCTTATGGGAACTGTACGTTTCTCTACTGCTGTTATCACCATGAGGTTGACTCAAGACTCATGGTGAGATAATGACTACTAGAAATGGCCGCTGTGATGACAAGTTCACAGTGAGAATGGTGACGCATTTGCTCCAGCTGCCCCTCAGCAGAACAAATGTCCCCAGTCCCAGTGGGTGTGTGGCAGGGTCCCTTCAGGTTGGACGAGCTCCTGTATATGTGGCAGAGGGACTTGCTCTATGTTAAACTCTCTGACATATCATTTTGAAAGAGACTTCTCTCAAAGCAGAAGTGCCAAGTTGGGACAGGGAGATGCTCCCAGTCTTTGGTTGGCACCATTGTCCTCCTGAGCAAGTGTAGAACTTTCCAGAGTTTCCTTCACTTGCCCTCTCCACCCCTTCTTTCCCATTCCTACAGCTTCTGTTCTCATGTCTACCTTTTTTCTGTGTCACCTCAGATCTAAAGTAGTGGATAGAGAGAAGTCGAGGAGGAAGCTTATAAATGGGGCGCGAAATATCAGGATCTGAGCTAATGGGAGGAGCTGTTCTGGATCTTTATTCCTCTCACCTCGACAGCTCAGAGGCCAGAAACCCATCCTCAGCACTATAGTTGGTCACAAATCACCCTCATCATGGCAGGGAAGACCTCACTCCCTGAATCATGCTTCTGTCAAGAGGCCTTTCAAACAAGCAGTCGGGAAATTTATTTGAGGCCATTATCACTTGCATCATAATTTATCCTGGTTCCCTTGCTAGCAGATTTTGAGAAGTGATTCATGTCATTTGGAAGTAAATCATTATACTGAATTTCCTTCCAAGGACACGCTCTTTGTGAAATGCGTGAAGAGCCCTTTCCCAACAAAACCCAAGGTCGAAAAATGAATAAACGGTGGTTGAAACATCTCAAGTTCCCGTTACTGTGAACTAGAAGTTGAGAGTGTTTCTAGAAAGCTCTTGGCCTTGGGTCAGCCCTCGACTGAATGACCAAAAGATTGTCATTGCTTTGCAGCTGCTGTCCAAGCCAAAATTCAGTGGAGTTGAAAAGATCAAGACCATCGGGAGCACATACATGGCAGCGACGGGTCTGAGCGCCGTGCCCAGCCAGGAGCACGCCCAGGTACAGGCTTGCCGACCACACGAGGGCACACGTGAGCCTCGGCTCTGCCCACAGGTCATCCTGGAGCCAAAACAGCTTGCAGCGACCCTCAACTATACTGTGTGCACAACCTAAATCTCAGCGATTAAGCTTTTATGAGAAAAGGCGAGAATCCCAGAGGCTTCTGAGGGGTTGTCCGCTGAACGTTCTCTGGTGGACAGGAAAGGGAAAATCCAACGAACCCACAGCCGCTCGACGCCAGGCAAACGTACAAAAAGTAGGAGGCGAGAGCGGTTTGCTTAGAATACGCATCAGAGGACAGGTCCTGGCCTTCCGGTTAAAAACAGTGCCATCAAAAACCAAGCCGACTGCATGGAAATTCGCCTGAAAAGGTGGTTTGGGAAAAGCTGAGTATCCTCAATCAGAGCCAGCTAGCGTTTTCGAGGAGTTTTCTGTCTGTTTCAGTGTGTATGTGTGTCACGGGCATCTGTGTGTTTGTCCATGTGTTTGTGTGTGCGTGTGTGCATGTGTGCGTGCATATGTGTGAGTGTATTTGTGCAGGTGTGTGTGCATGTGTGTATGTGTGTGCATGTGTCTGCATGTGTATGCATGCGTGCCTGTGTGCATGGGTGTGTACATGTATGAGTGTGTGTGCGCACATGTGTGTGTACACATGCATGTGTGGATGTGCTTGTGTAACTCGTGAGCCCATGAACTAGACCGCCTTTCCCCTCAGGACGGTGGGACCCCTAATGGGGAGCAACGCGGGTTTGCTGCAGGACAGGCAGGGGGTGCAGCACAGATGACCAGAGCAGGTTTGCTGATGGTGGGTGGAGCCCCCCAGAGAGAGAAAGGGCGGCGCCCCACATGCTCAGCCCCCTCTCCCACACCCACTTCTTGCGGGCGGAGGGAGAGGGACCAGGGACAGCAGGGCGCTCACGCCAGGCCCGCCACCAAACACCATCAGGCGGGGCCTC